TTTATATATAGTTCTAAAATTATTCTCCCCTCTTAATAGTGAAGGAGTTAGAAAAGTTACAGCACCATACTGAAACTGAACTAACAGAAGCCTTACAGAAACGGAAAGCACTAGAGACTGAACTACAGAATGCTCATGGAGAATTAAAAAGTACTTTAAGACAACTCCAGGAATTGAGAGATGTACTACAGAAGGCTCAGTTATCATTAGAGGAAAAATACACTACTATAAAGGACCTCACAGCTGAACTTAGGTGAGTTAAATAATAAGAAATGATAATCACAACTATAGATATTTCCCTTTACTACTTTGCGTCCTTGGGTCATATAATAAAATTTATTGTTGAATTCTAGATGTCTAAACTTCTCAACTGCCTTTGGCTCACTGTGGCTCATCCTAGTCAGCCCATCCCATGCTTCATCTAACTAATTCATCTATTGCTACTGGCTGCCAAAATTTCCATCCTCAGTCTTTGGACCATTTTATACTGGCTATAGTAGTAAAAAAAAGATTGGACAAGTGTATAGCAGTGGCTAATAGCAAAAAAATTAATAATAATATTGTTCTTTGTATTAAACCCTTATTTTATGCCCGGTCTATGCCAGAGATTTCACATGTGATCTCTCACTCATTTCCTTACAGCAAACCTATCAGATATATTTTATTACCTTTTTATAGTTGAGAAAACTGAAACTTGAGAAAATTAAGTAAAATGCCCAAAGACATATTAATACAAGTAGTAGGGTCTAAAGAAGGGAGTTAAATACAAGTCTGTCCAACTCAAATGTCTGGGTTCTTAGATTAGCACCGACAGCATAAAATGCCATACCAGCACACAATGCTATGCCAGTACACATCTATAGTGAACAGAGGTGGAGAGCCAGACCAGAGCCAAAGGATGAGGAATTTAGATTTAGAAAAGGAAAATAGAGTTACAAATAAGGATGTAAAAATGTGAAATAAAAGAACAGGACAAAGAGCAGCAAGATGACCGAGAACCTTAATGTTGTACCCCGGGATTCATGTTATTCTCTCTCCACAGACTAGTCCTTTGTACATTTCATGTAGTTTTAAATACTTGTCATCTTAGTTGGATATTTTTAAGAGGTATCTCAAACATGGCCAAAACAGAGCTCATTTATTTCCTCATAATCCTGCCCTTCCCCTATCTCAGTATCATACAATTGCTCAAACCAAAAATCAGCAAGATTATTCTCATCTCTTTCTGTCTCTTTTAAAATCCCATCTATTAGCAAGTCATGCCAACTTTATTCTCAAAACATATTCTGAAATCCGTTGATTTCCTGGCCTTTTTTCTGTTACCACCTTGGCACAAGCCATCGTCATCTCTCACCTGGTCTATTGCTGTGGCTTTCTAACTGGTCTCCTTGCTTATAAAACCCCCCTCTACAATCTATTCTCCACGAAATAGATTTATGTTTATGATTTAAAACATAAGTCAGATCATATTGCTTCTAATGGCTTCTGAAAACATTGAGAATAAAATGCAAACTCCTTTGGAAATGAAAATCAAAACTACATTGAGATACTACTTGACACCCACTGGGATGGTCATTTAAAAAAAGAAAAAACAAACCAGGCCAACATGGTGGCTCATACTTGTAATCTCAGCATTTTGGGAGGCCCAGGTGGGAAGATTGCTTGAAGCCAGGAGTTTGAGACCAGCGTGAGCAACATAGCGAGACCCTGTCTCTACAAAAAATTAAAAAAAAAAATTAATTAGGTGTGGTAGTGCACCCATAGTCCCAGCTACTTGGAAGGCTGAGGTAGGAGGATCACTTGAGCCCAGGAGTTCAAGGTTATCGTGAGCTATGATCACACCACTGCACTCTATCTAACCTGGGTGACAGAGTTAGACACTGTTTCTAAACCAAAAATAAAAAAAAAAAGAAAGCAAGAAAAACATTAGAAAATAACAAATGTTGGCAAATGTGGGGAGAAATTGGAACCCTTACACATTGCTGGAGGGAACCTAAAATGATGCAGTCATGTTGGAAAACAGTTTGGCATTCCTAAATTGAACATAGAATTACCATACTACCTAGTAATTACACTCCTAGTTATATAACCAAAGGATTGAAAACAAGTATTCAAACAAAAATTGTACATAAATGTTTTTAGCAGCTCTATTTATAATAGCCAAAAAAGTGAAAATAACCTAAATGTCCATCAACAGATGAATGGATAAACAAAATATGGTATATACATATAAGGAATATTATACAGTTATAAATAGGGATAAAATGGTGATACATGCTACAATGTGAATAAACCTGGAAAACATGCTAGGTGAAAGAAACTAGACACATGTTACATAATTCCATTTATATGAACTATTCAGAACTGTCAAATCCATAGAGACAGAAAGCAGATTAGGGATTGCCGTAGACTGGGGGGAAGGGAGAATGGAATGTAACTACTATAACTGGTAATGGGTATGAGCTTTCCTTTTGGGATGATGAAAAAAGCACTATACATAGATAGTGGTGATCTTTTTCCTTTGATAAATTGCAGTACAACATTATGAATATACTTAATGCCACTGAGTTATATACTTTAAAATGGTTAAAATGATAAATTTTATGTTATATATATTTTACCACACTTAAAAAAAATCTAAGCTCCTTATCCTAGAATACAAAGCCCTGTATGATTAGGTTCCTGCCTACTTCTCTGGCCTCATTTCATACCACTCTCCTTGCTCCTGGCTTTTTTAATTGTACTTAAAATTTATCAAGTTTGTTTCTACCTTTGGACTTTGCCCATAGATGTTTCTTTTGACTGGAATAATCATTCTGTGGCCAGCTTCTTCTTGCCCTTCACGTTGCCTCAGAGGAACCTTCCATGACTACCCACCCTAAAGTAATTTAATGCTCTAACATAGCACTTAATATAATAATATTTTTCTTTTTTAGTTATTATTTATAGTCTATCTTTTCTCCTGGACCTATTACAATGTAAACTCTGTGAGATCAGATTATCTATATTGTTTACTATTAAATCCACAGCATTTAGGACTCTGGCATATAGTAGGAAGCATCCAATAAATATTTGCTAAATCAATGTTAAGTAAATGAATCCATGGAAGAAATAAACAGTGAAATCTTAAGTTCTATATATTAGATGAATTTTGAAAGCTCAGCTATTTGCGTAGACAGAAGTTAGAATTTTCTTTAGAATTAATTTCATATTATTTTTAGAATATTTGTTTTAGACTTATAACTCTTGAGACTTTTAGAAGAATATTGAACAGCTCATTAAAGAAGTTCAGAATCTTCCTTTAAAAATTCAGTACCTTTATCAATATTGTTTCATATTTCAAATTGGAAAATCATATGAAGATTTTCAAAATCAATACTTTCAGTCTTTGTCATATCAGAGCTTAAGAGTTTCAAATTAAAATTCTCTGATCATAAGCATCAGAGTGGTAGAAGCCTTAAAATTAGGTCAATATTAAGCATTTTTATAATATAAAGTTAGGGTTTTAGGAGGGCTAGAATTTATTTAAAATATTTTAAAAAGATTTTTATATTAGACTTTAATAATTATATGTAAGGTGTTATTTTGAGTAAAATTCCCACGAGAAATACTATGGTCATTGACTGAACTATGACTATCAGGGATACAAATCTTGAGATAAATGCTTCATTCAATAGTAATAAAGTCACAGCTGTTACATGTAAAAGACTTTCAATCTCTTGATCTATGTATGAAAAAATGTGGATATGTATTTTTTAAAATTCTTATACTGATTCAATCTTAACATCCGAGTAGTGCTTTAACAGTTAGCTTAAATTATAATACTACAGTTTGAGTTAACTTCTACCTTTTTAAAACACTCTATTAAAGTAATTGTATTGGCTGGGCATGGTGGCTCATACCTGTAATCCCAGCACTTTGGGAGGCCTAGGCGGGAGGATCACTTAAGGCCAGGAGTTCAAGACCAGCCTGGGCAACTTAGTGAGACCGCATCTCTACAAAAAAATTTTTTAATTAGCCCAGTATGGTGGTGCATGCCTATAGTCCTAGCTACTGGGGAGGATGAGGCGGGAGGATCAGTTTAGCCCAGGAGTTTACAGTGAGCTACCATTAGGTGATTGCACTCCAGCCTGGGCAGAAGAGCGAGACCCTGTCTCTAAAAATAGATAGACAGACAGTTAGTTAGTTAGCATTGATGTCAATAATTTTCTTTATACATTATTCCTTTCAATCTGAGTTAGTTATATATATCCTATTGCTTTTAATTTATAGAAAAGGTAACCAGGTTGGCCTAACTTTTAAAAACTATTATATTTCTACTCTCTGCTTTGACCTTTTTCCTTTGATCAATTGCAGAGAATGCAAGATGGAGATTGAAGATAAAAAGCAAGAGCTCCTTGAAATGGATCAGGCACTTAAGGAGAGAAATTGGGAGCTAAAGCAAAGAGCAGCTCAGGTCGATTTCCTTATTTATATTTTAATGAAATTTTCTGTTATGACACAATCACACAAGATTTCAGAGGTTACCAGTTTTTTGTTAAATGGACATTTTTATAGCATTTTTTTCTCTGCACATAAGATTTATTAAATTAGAAATATGTCATCTCTTGTTATCTTGATATTTACAAATCTTTATATCTTTATATTTTACG